TGTATGATGAGTGGTGTATGATGAGTGGTGTATGATGAGTGGTGTATTGATGTGTGGTGTATTGATGAGTGGTGTATGAACAGTTTTCGAATGTCCGTAACACGGAAGTTTCGTACACTAAGTAGTTGGCTTAAGTTGACGCTCAGTGTTTGTCATTTGGGCGTTCAGGATCCCATTCCTCGGTCCTTCAGAGGCGAAGACGCTTCGACTGGGCGCAGGTGCGACCGAGGTGACTGTTTGGGAAGTTGTTGCTTCTTTTAATTGTGTCTTTGTTGGTCAATTGAGCAGCTTCAAAAACCTCTATGATGAAAAGTGTGCAAACTGTGATCTCACATTCTTTCGCGAAAACCAAAACGCAGGTCGCGAAAGGTTCGCGAAAGCCCCGCGAAAGAACCCCAGAAGAACAGCGTCGCGAAAGCTTTCGCGAAAGTCGAATTTCTTGTGCATGTCGTGTTGTTTATGTGGGTGACCATATTTTTATGCAAGCAGCCGCAGCAGGCCAGCCAGCCAGCCAGCCAGCCAGCCGCAGCAGACCAGCGAGCAGCAGCAGCAGCACTGAAGAGCAAGTGTTTCAGGGGAAAATCGAAAAACCCAGACGAATTTCCGCGAAAGCCGCGCGAAAGCCTCGCGAAAGAACGCGAAAGTCGAAAATATCCGGGAAAGGTATCTGGCCCCAGCAAAAAGTTTCAGCAAATTTTCCTCCTCTTCTGATGACAGCAATAATATTTGAACGGTGCTGCTACAACTCCTTGTGCCAGGATGTTGCCGGAAAGAAATTTGTTCAGTTTTGACCACCCTAAGGACACTTATATCGGATAACTTATATAGGTCAATCACTTTATTGTACAATATCCCAATCGAATTTACCAATCGAAAACGAATCGCCGCGAAAGCCGCCGCGAAAGCCCCACAGAACACCACACCTTCCGCGAAAGCCAGAATGCAGGCCGCGAAAGCTTTGCGAAAGCAAGCCTGGATTATACAAAAAAGTAATAGGGGTTTCCGAAGCTGCTCAATTTGAGTCGATTTCTGATATGGTATAAAGATGTTTTCTTGATACAACATGATACAACCACTGAAGAGTTGTGTTTGATTTTCTCGTGGAGAAGAATCGAACGTGCAGGAATTTTTTGGTTGGTCTCTTCCTTTTCTTCCAAGCAGAATCGGAAAGTGGGCCAGCCAAAAGATTCCAAATTGAATTCACAGTTCATGCAGATCAAGGACCATTTTCTCGTTCAGTGTTCTTCACTCACCCGTGTATGTTTGCAAGGTATTTGGCCACAGAGGAGTGAGACGGATTTGCTGGGAAGCTTCTACTTTCGATCCGGCCGCTGAGCAGATGGCTTTTCCGACGGCCGAAGGCCATCCAGCTGTTTGCTCAGACTGCGAGAGGTCCGTGTATAGTCGGCCGGCTGACCTGGAAGGGACTCGGCCAAGTTCGTGAAATTGGGCTCTCAAAGTGAACGATCCTCTAGTAGGTTGGAGGCCATTGCTACGAAAGAGAACACGATGGCAGGCAGCCTGTTCACTAGGGGCCACCGGGTTTGACCCAATTGAAAGTGGCTTACTCTGCAATCTCATCTACTCTTCAGAACATCCTGGATCAAACTGAGGCACATACCACAAGTCATGCTTTCCCAATCTGCAGCTTTTGCAATGTTTTGTGCATAGGTGCCTCCTTCTCTGGCGTGGTGCAAGCTGGCTCTGGTGGCCAATACCAACCGAACCCTAAGGATTGGCACTTAGCCTAAGCAACATTGAATATTGCAGCCTGAAATATATGCGTCCTGATGGTGCATCATGTGTCTACAGTTAAAACCACTGCCCCAATGACCCGGCAAAAAGAAACATGTTTTGTTTGCACCCATGTTCTAATCCATTCACAAGCTACACCCAGAAGTTTCTTGAACGTGTTGTTTGTTTGCCTTTGTCACCTGTGAGGCTGACGGCTTTGATGTGGAAAAAGTCTGCGAAGCGATTGATCCAGATAAGTTGTGGAAGACACCTGGCCAGGCTATCCTTGCTTCGTTCTTCGGATATTCATCAACAACAATCAAATAACTAGCAAGAGAGAGAGAGAGATGTGATTCAGGCCACTGGAGGGTCGACAGTGTCCTCAGCAGAGGAGTGGTACTTTTGCGCAGTTCACATGAAGATTTTTGTCCAAGTGCCCTTTCTTCATTGCAGACTTCAGGAAATGCGAAATAAGCGACTGGCACGACTCACTGGGGGTGGCGGAGGATACGCAGGTGCACACGGAAGGTTATAAGCGTTTAAGATCACCAAGTACTGTTGAGTGCAAGCATGTGCAAGCAATAGCGGGTAGCAAGAACTAACCTACGATGGTGAAGTGCTTTTGCTTTCCAAGGAGTCTTCTATGCAATCACATACTGTAAGTAGGTTGTTGATATCGAAATTGAGGTGAAGCACAAGGAGGGCAAGCGAGTGCGGCAGCTGGTGCTCCAGCACCACCACCGCCACCGCCGCCAGCGGCCGCGGCCGCGTGAGCGTCCGCATCACGAATAATTAATCCCCTAGCTTCAGTTGTTTGCGGCTGGGAAGTTCCTCAAATGTATCACCTCGCACAGACCCCGCACGGATCATCAAAACAGATTAGCTTGACTTGAGATTGCACGGGGTGGGGGATTTGGAGTCCTGGGAGCTACAGTGAAGTTGTCCAGCTTGGCTCAAAACAGGCCTTTCCTGAAAACAGGAATCTGTGCCACCCACCACACTGCATCAATGGGTGCATGGAACCTTTCAAAGGCAAGAAAGCTGAGAGCCGCATTCTGCGCAGCTGCGTCACTGTAGTTCCCGGTCAGGCAATCTTGGTCTTCCAGATGCTAGTCAAATCCTCGGTTGAATTTTATTTGTGGATCGGGACTTGGCATTTCCGTCTGACAGTTGGGCTCCCCAATGGGCTGGCACAAAATAGCAGGCTGATAATGAAACAGCAAGCTGAGGTGGTGGGCATAGCTGGAACACCGATTGCAACCTCGGGACCTAGGCTGTTTGCAGAGTAGAGCAGTCGGATTACTGCAGATGGGAAAGAGACTAATCATATCAGATGCATGAACTCACTGCAAAGTGCACTAAGGACAACAGTTTCCAGTGTCTAAATGATAGCAATCCAACCCTGCGCATTCCATGTGCCAGGATCAGACTTTCTTGGGAGGCGCGGTGCGACTGTCACAAGAACAACGACACGTTGGTTTGGCATGCATTTTCTGTGAGCAGTGGAGCTGGATTGCTTAGGCCGACCTCGCTGGTGACTTGTCAAAAGGACTCACCACTCACGCCTTCAAACCTTTTCAAGGTGTGGTTGGTGGGTTGCGGTTGAAAGGGATGGAAACACCAGTTTCTTGGAGACAGGCGACACGAAGGTTCTGCAACCAGTCTACTTCAAGTTCCTCGAGCATTATGGTTCCATGGCAAAATACAGAAGACTGATTCTGTCAATCACACTTACGGAGAAGTTTGCGTTGCGCTTGTGCGAGGTCGAACCTTGCTGCCCTTTGTAGAACGGGCAGAGGCCTGCTGTATTCTTCAGCAGTCGAGCAGATTTCGAGCAGAGGTATAGAGCGACTTGCGGTGACGTTCGTTTATTTTAAGATGTCACTCATCACTCATGCAAACATTGAGGCGCCTGCTTGTGCCTTGGGTGAATGGAGCCCTGTCCTTGGACATGAGTGCTCCCGTTAGTCGGGACGACTCCTCCGAATGAGCCGAGTCGTGACTGAATCCCTGCATGATCTCAAGGGCGAATCCTTGGACACTCTGTTTTGGAGTTTGTTGTGTCTGTTGTGTGCTTTTTTTGTGGAGTTGGTGAAATAGTATGCGATCCACGGATTTTCATCTTGACAATTCCTGGCTGACGATTGCGGTGCTTTTCAATGGTTGTCGCAGCAACCGTGCGCCATGCTTCAGCTTTCTTCGTTTTTGTCTGCCTCGTGGCTTCGAAAGGGTCCTTTCAGACCCAGCTTGGCTTCAAGTGGCTTCCTTTGATCACCTGTCTTGATTGCCCTTGCTGTTTGTTGTGCCATTTGAAGATAGCTGTTCAAACCTGCAGTCAATGGCAAGACTGAACATGGTGGGGAAGATGAAGCCAAATGTCCAAAAGCTTCTGTGCTCCGGCCTTTGCTCACGAGCAGCAAGATAGAGATTCTCGTTGGCTCCTTTCGCGCGGCGCAGGGATGCAGAATGGGGATCAGCATCACACAGTTTGGCCAATGATGTGATTGGCTTCAGAGTCGTTCGCTGCACCCATGCGCGCCGGAGTGTAGCCTGGTTTCGGGCATTTCGTCTGGCCTGCACAAGTTTCACGAAATGCAAAAGACTTCAACGAGCCCAGGATGTGGAGACTCCATGGTAAAGCCTGGAGGAACAAAGAGGTTCACCATGTCCCCCTCGGGTCTCGACTGAGTCGAGCTGGCTCATTCAGAGTAGAGCGGTACTGACAGCGAACCTCCAAAGCTTCCAGCGTCACAGAGTTTGAAAATGGTGTGGCAGAGCGAAGCAGCATGGTGACGATCGTCAAGATGTGAATAGTTAACTATGGACCGAATCCAACCTCCAAACCGTCGCTGGTACATGAATTGGATGTGAACGTGTCTCAATGAAATAGACGTGTCCTCTACGTGCAAGACAAATCATGTGAGCAAGACAGCCTGTTCTATGTTTTGCGTCAAGTTATTGCCAGCTGTGCGTGCTCTCCGGGTCATGAATGGCTTATTACCCTCAGGATGATCTGGCGCCATTCCCAGAGCCGTACTTAATTCGCTGTAGCAACAAACCTGGGCAACCTTCCTGCACCTGTTGTTTCGGAACTAGTCGTAAAATGGCAGCCGCGTTGTGAATGAGATGGGAACGTTGGATGGTGGTGAGCTGAGAATGAAACTGGAAGCAAGTTTTATCCAAAACCACTCGTGTCAAACCCGTTGGACTCAGGTGCAGATGATTCAGCTGTTGATCAAGCTGTTTTGGGCTTGGAAGCTTGGCAGATCGACCATTGTCAGAAACTCTACTGAAGGCCCAGCAACTGGATGAGGAAGAGAGGGAACTATGGAGGCATGCTCACTTTCACAGCAACGACCAGAGGAAGAGACCAGAGCCACAGATTCACGTGCACCACTGTGAGATGTCAACACTAAAAGCCTCTCAGGAAAAAACATGTTGTTTTAGAGGTGGTGTAGGCTGTGGACCACAGAATTCCACAGATAAAGAGGTGAGATTGGTGAGGTGTGAGATTTTTAGACAGAAGCTGTTTCCCGCCTCATAGGCAGTTGCGGCGAAAGAGGGATTTCGAGGTCCGAATCCTCGAGAAGCGTGCGCAGATAGAGGCCTGGCGGGAGAACGCTACAAAGACAACGCCTGAACTGGGAGAATCCAGAGATTTTGTTTGAGAGCTTTGCAAAGAGGGAACAAACTCTGAAGATGCGTTTTGTTGCTTGAGGAGTTGCAGAAGAAGCGGCAAAGCGTGCGACTTGCTCAAGCGCAGGTGAGCGACTTCTCGCCTACTTAATTAAGGGAGTAAGCTCCTGTTCACTCCTAGCTACTTGGGCGCTACTACATATTCATATGGACGCAGGATAGCTCACGCTTTTTCAAGGAAGCTCCCCCTGCCCGAGGGCGGGGGAGTTTCCTTGAAGAAGCGCTCGCACTATAGAATGGTTCCTAGATATTTAGGGAACTTAACTTGTCAAGATTTGAAGTTATTGACACCCTTCTGCAGGCTAGCGCATCTGTGGAAGTATTGACCAAAGAGGTTGGAGATTTTAATGGATTTCATCATTGCATTCAGACCCACTCAGCTTCGTCTGGGAGATGTGGAGGTCGAATTTGTAAAGTCTCAGCAGCGAGAACTGGAGCATGACTTGGCAGTGCTCAAGGACTGGATTTTGTGAGGCCAGCTAGCATTCCCAGCTTGGTGCGTAAGTATTTGTTTCTTGTGTATTATTTTGTTATTCCCCCCGAAACCTGGTGACATCAGCAGAAGCATCTCATGGTCTCATGGTTTGCGTGTTTCTCAAATGCTAGCGACACAAGCAACGGATCAATCCCACAAAAACACTGAGAATGTGACAGGCGTAGGAATCTCAAGCCAAGCGGATACAATGCATCCTTTCCCTGCCGGTTGAGGAACCTTGGGTGAGCGCCTAAACCACGCTGAGCTTCATGACCCCTTGGCCGGGACACATTGCTTATCTCTGAAGCCACGCAGCATGAGCTCTGCATCGAGCTTACATAGATGCTCTGTACTCCGACATATCACAAGCGGCTGAGGGACCCGAATTCCAATTCGCTCGACGGGGGTGGTTCGATTGGTCATTTGTACCAGCCATATTCCAGGAGTCAAATCGGCTTCTGCAGCAAGCCTTTCAACTTCAGACTGGAAGCAAGCCTCACTCAATTGGGGAGAAGGTCTTGCCGCCAAGGACAAAGGCCGGGCTGCTACAGACATTTGCATGTGGTTATCTCGTTTGATCATACGTTGTTTCGCGGACTTGATCTAGGATACCCTGGCGGAAGAGCGGGCTCACATGGAGTCGCTTCAGGCCACGGATCTTGTTTATGCCGATATCTTTTTGGAGGTGTCTGCTACTTGCAGGCCCAACAGGATCAAATCGGACACCTGCAGAAGTGACAGCCTCAGATTCGAAGACGAGACCTAACCCACTTCCAAACCTGATCTCTTTTTGAGGCACATTGAAAGCATGCATGTGGAGAAGCAGAATTTGCAGCAACAGCAGGAGGTACGCAGACTTGAAGAAGAGTTGATTCCTGTTATTTTCTGCTCCTCACCACAACTTGCAGCTTTGTCAAGTCTGATGTTCCTGAAGTTGCCCCTCACAGGTTCTTTTTCAGAAGCAACGTACGGCCGAGCAAGATCAGAACCGGCTCTTGGGAGCCATCCAGGAGATGAGTGAAGCAAAGAGCGCATGATGAACGGCAGCCGATGAATACAATGATATTATAGGATGATCGGAATCTCCTGAACGAAGTGCGGAGTGAGCGGATCAAGTGTGGGCCTTGGGTTTGCCAGTGTTTGGAGTTTGTTGATTCGCATTTGAGAAAACTAGGCTCTTTGAAGAACGCGCCATTCTTGAAAAACAGATGGCATCGGTGGTCAGCAAGGTGGGTCACAGAGATTCGCAAAGAAACACCACCAGACTGGCGACATGCAACAAGTTTTACATCCCCAGGTACATGAGGGTGTTCCTCGTGAAGAACGGACTCGATGGTCTCCCAGGTCTGCCCAAGAGCTTTACACGATCCATGACTGTACAAATCCATGACACTGTTGTTTTTTCTTTTATTTGGGGGGTAGGCCTCGATAGTAGTAGCTAGGGGTATATAGCTACTTGTAGTAGTTGCAAGTAAGCTACTAGGAACTGAACGCAGGATAGAAGCGCTCGCACTGATGATTAGGTTCCTAGATTTTAGGGAAACTTAAGAAATTCTTATGCGCCAGGACATCTCCATCTGAGCAGGCAGGAGACGGCAATAGCAGCAGGGTCCAATTGAGGTGAGCATGTCGAACCAAATGGGTTGTCAACTTTTGGTTCTCAAGCAGACCTCTCCTGTTCAGAATGCAATTTGAATCTTTGTGAAGACACTTCAGCCACCAAGAACACTCGGATACTTCTTCCACAGTGGTCCAGGTGGCTCAAAGTCTCAAGCCACCAGGATCATTTGGTGGAGTTCGAGGCCTTTCCTTGGCGGGTTGGTGTTTTGGAGTGGCAAGGTGGGCGTTTGATTTTGATGATGGTTCCAAAATCTTCCATCGCAGTCTGTCTCGAAACAAGGGATCCTGGCACTGAAACGCGATGCACATGTCCACTCAAAATTGTTTTGGTGTTTTTTTTGGGTATCTTTTGGCTTGGCCCTCAAGCTGTTTTGGAGATGTCTTACTCTGAGACATGGCTGTGGGTCAAGTATCTACCGAAATCGGTGAAGCTACCCATCCAGACAGGATTGGATTTTAGAGTAGACAACACACCCTATTGCGACCTTTGGTGCTGCACGGCATCACCCAGTGCCTGGCCAGCCCGTGACAAATGCAACAAACATCAACAAAGAGTGACACAGACAACACACAATGATAAGACCAAACATATAAATCACAAAACACAACACTTGGCATTACACAACGAGAAGCATGACAACAGACAATGACACACATAGTGACAACACCAAGCGTAGCCGACGAGGATCCTTACACCGCCGCATAGCCTGCTTCTATTGACAAGTGTGAATGATACCAGTTACCTTTGCCCTGAAGTTTCCCAAGAAAAGTAAGACACTTTGCCGATTCGCTTCGATTCGCGGCAGGACATGTTCCACAGGACCCACCTTTGTGGAGTCCTGAGCACATGATGGCAATGGTGATGTCGATCGATACACGCACTCCATTAGGCCACAGCCATCGCCATTTTTCTCGTCACCGTTGCAGGACAAGAACAGTCATCGGTCAAATCATAGTGGCAAACATCCATACACGCCCCTTCGATTCGAGAAGATGAATGTCGTAGGACCGACGTCCTCATTGGATCTCATTCCAGAAGGATGGAGACGCTGCTTCACGGCTGAACCAGGCTGGAAACGTTCAATGAAGTGTGTCATCGAAATCATTGGGGCATTTGTTTTTACAACTTTTTCGAGGCTGTTGAATCTCCGTCTTTTGGGGGTCATAAATTCCTCCAAACAACATAGTGTCAATGAAACCAAAGCGGAAAGATTATATAAAATACAAACTATGACAGAATCTAACCCCAGCACAGTCACTTGTGGATGACACGCACAAATCGAGGCTCAAGCGAGTGAAAGATCTCATTTTTTGCTTCGCATGGTAGCGGAGCTCTGGTCGTAAGAATCAGAGCTCCCTACCCACGACACCCTTGCCACCACGATCCGCCGAGGAAGATCCAGGGAAACCAGGAGCATCGGTGTGGGCCTGGTGGAACTACCTTTGCTGGCGTGCATCACCAGTAGAGCTGGTGATCGACTGAGCCAGGAGGTGCAATACTACAGGCCTTGGTCCATCACCTCCCAAGGGACCAAGGTGAGGCTTCGAAGGATCCACACCGTGATCATCGAGAGCAAGGGCTACGTGGGTAGATTGCACTGGATCAGAAGCGAAAGAAACATCAGAGCTTTGGTGATCCTGAGAGAACGACAAGGCAAGAAAAGGAAAAGAGGAAAACCCAAACAGCTGGTCGTGATTGTCCCCGCTGCTTGGAAGTTCATTGAAAAGGTTGAGAAGTTGAGGGACGAGACCCCTAGGATCAAATTTGTGAGCTCATAGCCAACTGGGACTACATCTCTGTGTTCCAGGAGAGTGGCCTTCTGTTCACCGAGGACTTTGAGCTTCGCGCCCCTTGATCAAGAATCTTTGGGAGATGGCGGATGAGAGTCTGAAGTCGATTTCACAAGCATTGGAACGCCTGGCCCTGACCCAATCTTCTTCGTCATGGTCCAGGCATATGAAGACACCAGACATTTTCAAGCCAGATACTAGAGACAATGAAATCAAACAGTGGAGCGATTGGAAGTTCAGCTTTGTGAACTACATCAAAGGCATTGATGCCAGGATGGCAGCCAGCATGGACCTCGTGGAAGAGAACCTCAATGGCGACTTCCGGCTGAGCGACATGACTGACGAGACAGTGAGATTGTATGGAGTGTTGACATCCTACTTGCGCAACCGGCCGCTCAAGCTGGTGAAGCATATGAAGGATGAGAACGGGTTCGAAGCCTGGCAGCGGCTGCTCAAGGAAATGCAACCAGCTACACGAGCACGATCACTTGCACTCCTCACCCAACTGTCGAGGGTGCAATTTGCTGAGGGACGAAGTACGAATCCATCGTACAGGAGTACGAACGTATTTCACACCAGAAGTACCCTGATGATGCAAAGATTGCCAGCGTACTCCAGGCTGCACCCAGTCACCTACGAGCTCATCTACAGCTATGGATCTCAGACACCACGAAGTTTGAGGATCTGAAGGATAAGGTCATGGAGTTGGAGGCCATTGCAACGCGATGGGACAGTAGCAACTCTTTGGCATTGCCAACAAGGGCTGGCCTGGACGAGTCGACCCTTATGGCAGTGGACTATATTGGAAGAGAGAAAGGAAAGAAAGGAGGAAAGACGAAGTCGAAAGATCAGAAGGGCAAAGCAAAAGGCAGGGAGAAGGGAAAGACAAAAACAGATGGAAAGGGGCCAGGAAAGAAAGGCAAAGGCGAGAAAGGTGGCAAGACTGGGAAGTCCCGCGCATGCCACAACTGCGGGAAGTTCGGGCACTATGCAAAGGAGTACTGGAAGAGAGTGGGTCAGGTGGAGGAGCAATGGCCTGCTAGCAACACTGGCGGGGCAAGCGCCTCATCTTCGACCCAGAACACAACTGGGCAATCAGGACAATCTGCAGTGAAGACAACGATACAGATGGTTCGGTTGTCGACGCCGCCAGAAAGTTCTTGCCTGGAGATCTTCGACTTGACCACACCATGGAGAAACTACCCATGGAGGAACTACCCATGGAGGATTGGAGCCATCAGAACCGAGGTGGAAGAGCTCTTTGGCGAGATCATTGAGGAGATGGATGAGGAGTTTGTGGACTGCATAGAACCAGTGGTGCTAGTTCCTGATGGCATCACTGTTGTGGCCATGGACTTGCAGGACGACCTGGAGGAGAGGAAAGTGCAGATGGTGAGGACTGGAGAAGAGGAACAAGATGCAGGTTGTTTGGTGACCTTGGACAGCGGTGCGGACATATCTGTATTGCCAAGTCATATGGCAGCGTTGGCACCTGGTCGCCGGGATCACAAAGGTTGAGGATGGTGGATGCCCAGGGCACTCGACTCACATAGCCCACGATGGAGTGACAAGAGCAAAGATCAGGACGATCGACAAGAAGGGCAAAGAGATTGAGCTGGTGGAGGACTTTGTGTTGGGGAACGTTCAACACCCCATCCTCTGCGCTGGGGAATTGCTCAAGAAAGGATGGAGCATATGTGGAGGATCAGGCAACGTCAATCTGAGGCATGAGAAAAGGGACATATCAGCGCCGATCCACAGAGAACGAAATTCACTACAGTTCACTGGCCAGGATCTCCATGGTGGAGGCTGATGAGAAGAAGGTAGATGAGAAACAAGAGGCAAGGGTATTGGCCCTCAGAGGGACTCTCAGCCGCTATGTGAAAGAGATGGAGATGGAGCCCGGATGGCATCGCCTTTTGAACGGAGTGGTGGCCTACAGTGACCCAGCATGCGCGGCGAGCAGGGCAAATGAGGACAAATATGAGAAGCAGGATACCAAGCCAGACTTGGGAAAGAATGTGATACAGCTCGACTTCTTCTTCACGTATACAGGTGAGGAGACAAGAACGGAGGAGACACCTGTGGACAAAGTGAAGGAGCGAGCAGACCAGTATGGAACCTGCCCGGTCATGACCTCTTCGGAGACAAAGGCCATGCGCGTGGTGCCTGTACCATCGAAGGGTACCGCTAGCCTGAAGACAGTGACAGAGGAGATCATCCGGTTCTCAATGGAGAACTCGTCAACAGACCCATGCATTTTCCAAGGAGATTCAGAACGAGCTATGAGGCAGATCCTGAGGTCAGTGCAACAGGTGAGAACGATCATGGGGTTGCCGTGCGAGACCCGCCTGACTGGAAGTGGACAGCGTGCCTCAAATGGCCAAGCAGAAAGAGCAGTACAGACAGTTCGCAAAATGGCAAACTGCCTGAGGTCATTTGCAGAGACGAACGCCCACATACAGATCGATGGGAGTTTCCACATGTACCCATGGGCATTCAAGCATGCGGCATTCCTCATCAACCGGTTCAGAGTGTTGGAAAAGATTGGACGCACAAGCCATGAGCTGGAGTCACGCACAATCAGAAGGTGTGCGCCAGAAGAGAGCTTCAGGGCTACAGACATGGTGGTGGCCAAGGGCTTGCCGTGGAGCTATTCCCCGCAAGGGATCCTGATGAGGCATGGAGGTCAGGCGCAACGGTATCGACAGCCCACATTAGAGGCAGATGCGACTGAAGAGGAGCTCAAGGCCATATCAGAGGCAATTGCAGCTGGAGTGGTGACACCAGCACCAGGGTTGCACGGACAACCGAAGACGCCTGCTATGGCAATTGGTGCACCAACAACACCAGCGCCAATGCCATCAACACCGAAGGCGAAGAGACCAGCAGAAGAAGCAGTTGCTGAGGAGCCAGAGGAGAAGAGGCAAGACAAGACAGAGTCACCCAGAAAAGGCCAAGAGAAAAGGGAGGCTCAAAGAGGAAGAAATTGAGAGTGAGAAGCATCAGAAGGCGCAGGAGGAGAACGAAGCAGCAGAAGCAGGAGCGAGTACTACAAGGCCCAGAGAGGAGAAAGCTCAGACGTCACCTTCAGCATCACAGGCAAAGGTAGCAAGGCTGTATCCCCCGCATTTTGCAGGGATACAAGCAGTGGAAGTTCATGGGGATGAGGAGTTCGACTATGCAATGGTGCCGGAGGAGGTGAACGAAGAGCTACAAGTGGATGATATGGAAGATGAAGAACCACCCATAACGACTGATGAACACCTCAAGATGCTGGACCATGAGGCAAACAATGGTGAGCAGAATGCAGAAGAAGTGAAGACCAATGGAGGCTACCTGATATCCACGAAGTTCGTCTACTGTTGGAAACACAGGATCGAACGAGGAGGATGGTTTCGAAGGGCACGACTGGTAGCAAGACAGTTTAAGTCGAGTGTGGACATGGAGCAAACATTCGCCCCGACATCGATGCTTGTGATACCTAAGATGCTCATCAACCTCATGCTGAACGTCTTCAAGCGCTTCACAGCTATGACTTTGGACATCAAGGACGCATTTTTGATGGCTGCGCAACCAGAGGAAGAAAAGGCCTATGTTGAAGTGGATGACAAGGTCTACAGGTTGGTCAGATGTTTGCCAGGGCAACGGACAGCAGCGTCGCAATGGTTCCAGTTGTTCACAGGAGCAGCCAAGGTGTTCGGCGTGGAGCAGGACGTCATGCAACCTACGCTGTTGATGATCCACAAGGTGATGTACATCACAGTGCATGTCGACGATGTCTTCATGGTGGGTAATGAAGGAGCCTTGAAACAGTTCGTGGACTTCCTGAAGATGAAGAAGAGGTGGAGCATTGAGGAGAAAGGGCCGTTGTTGATGGGAGAGAGATTCTCCTATTTGAAAAGAGACTTCACGCTCTACAGGAACTGGTGTGACATCAGATGTGACTATAAACAATATGAGAGTCTGGGCAAAGAGATGGACCTCTTCAAGAAAGCATACAGGAAGACACCCATGGAGCAGAACCACAGCAAGAGCTCCAAGGGGCAGAAGTGACAAGGTACAGGAGTGTTGTCGGAAGATTGATGTGTCTTGCCGGAGAACGCCCCGATGCACAATTCGCCATCCAGAATCTGGCACGTTTCATGGCTCGACCCACAAAGCAGGCATGGAACAAGGCCTGGCATGTTTGCTCGTACCTCCAAGGCACAGAAGGATATGGAGTACGGATTTCGGCAAGAGCAAAAGGTCAGTCGGTCATGAATGTCATGGGCTCAGATGAGGTGGAGGACAAAGAGCGGCGCCTCCTAGAAGTAGTGACCGACGCTGACTATGCCGGAGATCGAAATGACCGCCGGAGCACGACTTCCTTCCAGGTGTTTATAGATGGCAACCTGATGGAATCAAGGGTCAGAGCA